GCTCTCCGCCGGCGGCCCTGCTTCCACCCTCCCCCGGTGCCGCTGCGCCCCGCGCTCCCGTGACGGTCTGTTAGAGCTCGCACGGAGCAGGAGGCAGTTCAAGCTTCTCTTCTTACCTGCGCATCCTGAATGGCTCTTAATTAAATATCCCTGAAAGAACTGAATGACAAGAGGTTTCTGTAGGTGATTTTGCTATAGAGGAGCTTGAACTTCTTAAGACTTTTTTTGGAGGGAGGGGTGTTTTGCTGAAGTGGGAAGTAAGTAGGCTATGTATGAAATCAATTATGTAAAGACCCAAAGTAAATCTGTGGGGAAAAATTCCAAGCGGATTTATTTTTTTTCTCACCTGTCATTCTGAATGTTTGCAATAACAGCATTTGAGTTTGTCCTGGGTAGATGTCAGTAGAGCCTTAACATGTGTTGTTGTTTGGTTTTGATGTAAGCTGCAGTGAAAATTCTGGGAGATACGAATATTCCATGTTTCTGTTATATTACTGCTTAGTAAAACACATCAGTGACTGACTGGCCTTTTTAAAAGAGGAAATGAACTGTGTGCTTATAATGTCTTCTCGTTCCTGTGCTGTGGTAAGTTAATAGAATTCAGTACTTGTGTTTGTTTATTTTTCAAGATAGTCATGTCACTTCAGTGTTTTTAAATGGGGAATAATGTTTCCCTCAGTTTACAGCTTCAAAGTAATAGTCTTTTTCACCTTTTTCTGATTCCCACCAAGTCCCAGGCATACCAGTGGTTTGTTAACCAGCACAGGGCTGGGACTTTGTGTTAGCATAGTGAATGCTTACCACTCAGTTCTCCTGATAGCAAAATGAGAGTTGGGTTTGTTTATTTTGTTATGTCTTGGGTCTTTTTTCAAAAGAGTAGATGCATTAAAACTTCCAGGTTAGTTTAATTCTGTCTTTATTTAGTGTCTTTGGACTGATTTTGGAGCTGGGAGGTTTGTTTTAGTATAGTGATCTTGGAGGAGTTTTATGGCTACCTAAACGTGGTAGCTGCCTTTTGGTAACCTTTCAGTTGTTTTGAAGGTTCAGCTACGTTTAGCAGACCTTTGGGCTTACTAGGAATTTTCTGGGGTCAAACATATACCACAGCATATAACTTAGAGTTTGTTAATATAACACAGACATATTTCCCATGTGTGGTTTTTTTTTATCAGTATCTAGTTGCATTTACCCTAAGCACCTGCTCTATGTGAGACCATAGGTGGGAAAGATAAGTAGGTAAGATACTCTCCTGATTTACTCGTTGGTGTAAGGTCAGATTAAAGTTGAGCTGCATTTCTTAATTGGAGCGTAGCTTATTTGCAATCAAGTGCTTCTTTCTTAGAATGCCCCTGAACCTGCACGTGATAAATGTGCTGCATTCTGAGCTTGACCTATGTTTTTAGCATGATTGTAAGGGCTGCCTCTGTTGTGTGCTTGCAGACTGTTCGTGTGTCTTTTATTAGTTCAACAAACAACTCATTGTAAGTCAGTGCTGATTTTCGTCAGCAAAGGGAAGTGTCCCCTGGCAGTATTTCTATGGGTCAAATGGTTAGTCTTGTAAAGGACTTTGGGGAAGATAAGGGAGAGCGGGAGAACAAAGATTCAGCCTCTCAAGTACTGCAGCTGTTGAGGTGTAATGACTGCATTTCACTGTGGTATGGAGTGGACTGTAGCAGAACTGAGCCTGTTTGGGTCTTGTTTCTTTCGCTATTTTAGCCATGAAGTAATCAACATCAATCTGAAGAACAAACCTGACTGGTTCTTTGAGAAGAACCCCTTTGGGCTGGTTCCTGTTCTGGAGACCAGCAAGGGCCAGCTGATCTATGAGTCCCCAATCACGTGTGAGTATTTGGATGAAGCATTTCCAGGGAAGAAGTTGATGCCTTCGGACCCATATGAACGAGCCTTTCAGAAGATGACCTTGGAACACTTCTCCAAGGTACTGTGTGATCAGGGATTGTGTTTCTTACTACACTATAGCACCAAAAACTGGAGCTCTGTTGTCAATGCTGCTTTGATCCTTTAAGGCAGGTCTTGTGTTTGGGAAAAGCATTCAAATAACTAGAGGGGTTATTTGGGATCTTTTGCTGTGAGCACATACACATCACTGTGTGTCTGAATTGCTCCCAGCATTAATGTGAGGGGATGGATGCAGGAAGACAGCCAAGCTAGTGAAAGTTTATATGACTGAGGCAGGATTTTGAGCATCCTACAATAGAGCAAGGGTTAGTAGACCAAACCAGATGAATGCTTGAGACCTAGGCAGTGACAGTTGCTGTGTTTTAATCCGAGTCTTTCTGTAGGAAGTACTGTTTGAATGCAGAATGTGAAGAATGCCTGACTGAGAGAGCCTACAACCATGGACAAGAGATGGCAGGTGGCTGAGGAGATGGGACATGTTTAAAGAGACTGGTTTGGCTCTCAGTAGAGGTTGGAGGTGGGCACTGTGGCTGACTGGAAGTAACCTGTCTGTACAAGTGTGTGCTTTGAAGGGTCTAGGGAGTGAAAGAAGTCAGCCTGGATACGAGGCAGCAGAGGAGAGGAAGCAATGGAAGATGCAAAGAGATATGGACAAAGAAGGGGGACAGAAGAGAGGTTATATTTACAACAGACCTTTCTGAACAGGCATGATGGGAAGAGGGTTACAGGGAAGCATGTTGCAAGAAATGAAACGTGCACTGAATGTTGGTTGTATGAATGACAAGATCTTAGAAAAATGTTTGTCTTTGAGCTTTTAAGAGTATAATTTAGTTAAGCTTGGCCACTGGGCAACTTTCTCGTACCGTATGCTCTGGCAATTACCAAATTAGAATTTGCACGGGTTTGTAGAAGCCTGCATATCCTGGACCACATATCTCTTTCTTAAAGTACCTTAAATGTTCATAATTAATGTGCATTTGGATTTCAGAAATGTGTAACTGGGAAAAGAGTACCGATCTGCACCTTGCTGCCTTTTTTGCTACTTTTTTGGTAGTGTGTGCAAATGGGAAGCATGCCCATCTTTTCATTATTCTCTTACTACAAGACTGAAATTCATTAGTATTTTCATTCATTCTTCCTTTAAGCCTTTGCTTATGTCTTCTGAAGTATAAAAGAGTTTTATTAATGGACTTGCTTTAACTTTTTCAAGTTAAATCTTAAAGATTTAACTTGCATCTAATAACTTAACATCTGTCAACATTTTAAGCTCTAACTTGCTTGTATTATTGTAATATGAACATTAAAAGCTTTATACTTTCTTTTGTATAGATAACACCCATAGTTTTCAAGTATTTTGTGGCAGTCAAAGACGGACAGGACACCACAGCGCTGAAAGCAGAGATTGCTGAAAAGTTTGGCAGACTTGAAGAGGTAAGAGTATTTAATGATAATGAGCAGGTTGCCAGTCCATTGTATGATCCCTTTTTTTTCTTTCATGCTTTGGCCTTTGGAGCTAGATCTCTTCTCATTCAGTTGGTAGTTACAGCGATGAACAGTCTTTCAGTTTACTCCCCCTCTGGCCTAGGATGCACAACAGCATCATTGGAGTAAATTCCAAGTAGCTAATGTAAACTTCAGCTGTATGATGAAGGCTGTGTGGAGTTGTGGAGGGTTTTTTTTTAATTCTAGCTGCCTGCTGTTTTGCTTTAAATGTAAGGAGCCCTTGCAGTTTTTTGTTCAAGAGCTTATCTTTGGGGAGGATGGGGGGAAGCAGAATGTAATCTATCCCTTGCAGAAATCCAGCCATGGACCATGTTCTGCTACAGTGGTGTAATGCAAATTCAGTAGAGCTCCCCGAAATGTCAGGTGGCTTTGATACTGTATTAGCAAATTCACAATCCTGATTTAGTGTCGGTAGTAGTTCTTGGCTAGTCTGAAGAGCTGTCAGACTTGCCTTTATCATGAACACATTCCTTTTGTGTTTTTAGCAGCCAGGACTAATGTTTGTCTGGCTTGATCAAGAAGCATTCCTCAAGTGTTTCTCTTCATGTGCAGAGCTACCGATAGCTTTCTAGTACTGTCCTAATTCTCCTAACGGTCCTATGCATTCTGCTTCCCCACCCCCTTGAGTTGCCAAAGTAAAGCTGTTTTCAGAGTAGTCTTGTCTGTCTGATCAGGCTGATGCTGGAGTAGTGCAGATGACAAATGAGTTCTTGGGGGAAGCCATGCATGTTTCACTTCCCTGAAATACAGATCTATTAGACATTAAGGAAGAATTAACCTTCTTCCTGCTTTATTAATGCTGTGAAATACTTGCTGCTCCTTCAGTGTCTCTCTTTTACTATACCCTAAAGGATTTTGCAGCAGCAGCTGAAGGTCAGCTGAGGATGGGAGGAAGGAACAGAGCCATGCAAACTTCCCTTAGCCTATTGCAAGAGATATTCAAGACGGGAAGTGTTCTGAAATGCTTCTGTATTTAGTTTGCTGCTACCCAACAGAGGGAGCTGAGTTCCCATCTGTGCAACTGCTGGGTTATATTCTGCCAGACAGCTGGTAATTCAAACAGCTTGATGCTTCCTGAAGCACTGCTTTAAAATTTCTACTAGATCATGGCAGTTAGCAGACATGGAGTAAATACCATAGGAGTATAGTGTTCTGTGTCCAAAAAGACAAAGATTTGTAAGGTCACTTGAGTTCTACCTTTAAAATGCCAAAGTGCCTGGAAACAGAGGGACTAGTCTTAGGAAGGAAGAGACCAAGCTCTGGAGGTTCCTTAAAGCATGTTAAACTTGGATGACCATGGTACTTGAAACGTATCAGAAACATGAATATAACAGGAGAACTTGCTGCATTCTTTGCGGCCCTGCTTTCCATGCTGAGCTGTGGGATCTTTTTCTGGTGTATGTGGATGTTATGCTCGCTTCCTGTTCCCTTTGCACCTGGAATCAAATCCAGTTCTAGATGTAATGTTAGAAATGCTTTCCTGATACCACTTGGCCTCGTGTGCCGTGGGAAAAGAGTCCCTGCCAAAACAGTGCTCTGACTTACCTGGATGTTAAATTTAGCTGGAGTTATTGCTCAAGAAATGCATGTGCTTTGTTATGTTTGATTAGTCTGTGCCAGTAATACTTACTGACAAGTAAGAAATCATGAACTGACAGGTTCTGAGAGCTAAATTCCTTTTTGTTTGTGCACAAGCTGCAGCTCGCTAGTGATTAATATTTTGTGACAGTTTTTTGAACCTCTGGAGAAGAGCTGGACTGACAGGGTATGAAACAGTTAAGCTTGCTACCACAGCTGCTTTACTGACTAGCTCTGACTCCCCAGATACTGCATACAGCACATTTCTCCTGTGTATCTCTATTATTTGCTGTCTGATCACTTTAGTATGCCTGCATTCCACTAGGAAGTGGGCTTTTTGTTATTGTAGTGGTCTCTCATGGTAATTTTTCTTCTGAGGGCAATTGTCTCTCACCGCTCACAGATTCTGTCCAAACGGAACACGCTGTTTTATGGTGGGGACTCAATCTCCATGCTTGACTACATGATCTGGCCATGGTTTGAACGTCTGGAACCATTTCAGCTGAAGGAGTGAGTACCTTGGCTAGGTTCTAGTGTGTACTGAAGTGTCTCAGCATAAATATTCTTTGCATACACCCTGCAGCAATGGCCCAGGGGGCTGCTGAAGAAAGTTCGTATTGTGTTACAGTTTGGAGGAAGGATCTTATCAAGAGAGTTGTTTGGGGATCTTCTGTGAACAAGGTTTATTTCACCAGGTCTGTTTTCCTACCAAATCATTTTGACAGATCTAGAAGTGGTCAAAATACAGGTCTTCCTCTCCATTCCTAACATCATAGATGAAAATGCTCTTTATTTGAAGCAGAAATTGTTGGTCCAAAACCTCAGACTTGAAATGCAGTCTTCTCCTCCTCTTTGGAAATCCTAGATTGACAAAGGAGAGTGATTTTGTTCTGAGATGCGTAAATTTTATCCTACCTTGCTGTAGCTAATAGATATGTCCCTGTTGTAATAGCATTTTTTTAATATGTAAATAAATGTCTTGGTCTGCTGCATCCTTAAACAGCTCCAGTTACCATGGTATTGCATTAATATGTAGGGGAATGGTGTCAAAGGAAAATGATTTTATAGATGGCTTAAAACAGGACTAAAGAGTCAAGTTGTATGAGGAAGTAGGTGATAAAAGCAGAAGATAAGTAGGACAGTTAGTCTCACCCTAGTGCCTGAGCCATTCTTGAAGAACAAAAGATGTAGGGAGTCCTTAGCACTGAAACTTCGGGCACTGTAAAATGAGGGCTGTACTGATGGGTTGCTGACCTACTTTGTCTCCTGTGTGGAGCTTGATTGGAAGGGGAAATATTACAAGCAATATAGGAGCATAGGTTTAGAGTCATTAAGGTATTTGAATGATAGAGGATCTGAGCTATTCTATGTTAAGAAAAGATGCTTTCTGGGTAAGGTTGAGGAGTTACCTAGAGAAGTTACGCATTAACTAAACTTGGGAGTTGGAAATTATAATGCAAAGTACTTGGGTCAATCTGCCAGAAGAAGACGAAAGTAACCATTTATGCTGTTAAGCTTTCAATTTGCCACACAGTTTTTTTCAAATGTGTCTGAGTGGGTTTGTGGATTTAGTCCGTTAGCCAGATCCTCAGTTTCCTTAATAGACTGCGTCTGCGTTTTGAGCTGCTGGATTGCAGGGTAGTACAAACTGCACAGCTTGTCTTGGTATGCAAGAGAGAGGAGAGAAGAGGTTCGTGGGTTGTGGAGGACTCCTCAACCACTGCATACAGCATTTGCTTCAAGAATCACCGTTAACAAAGCATTCCAGAGGGAGGCAGTGGTGCACAAGCCTCTGCCCTCAACTCAGAGCAGATGCTAAGTAAGACCTGTCTCTTTTGCAGAAGGGGTAACATAAGCAAAAACATGCTGATATCTTGCACAATAAGGGCTCATTTGTGTTATTGCTCAGCTTTGCAGAGTGCAGAAGCTCTGTAAAAACTCTTTCACTTTCCAAATGCTAGTCTGTCTTCTGTGATCTGAAATGTATTTTTGTCACCTGCTCTGAGCTGAATGTTATACTGGGAGGGAGAAAGCAAAACAAGCAGTAAAACAGTAAAAAAAATTTAACAAAATAAATGTAACAAAATAACAAGGCCAAGTGCTGGGTCCTGCATTTCAGTCACAACCACCCCATGCAATGCTACAGGCTTGGGGATGAGTGGCTGGGAAGCTGCCCGGCGGAAAAAGACCTGGAGGTGTTGGTTGACTGCCGGCTGAACATGAGCCAGCAGTGTGCCCAGGTGGCCAAGAAGGCTAACAGCATCCTGGCCTGTATCAGAAATAGCATGGCCAGCAGGACTAAGGAAGTGATTGTTCCCCTGTACTCAGCACTGGTGAGGCTGCACCCCAAATACTGTGTCAAGTTTTGGGCCCCTCACTACAAGAAGGACATTGAGCTGCTGGAGCCTGTCCAACAAAGAGCAGCGAAGGTGGTGAAGAGCCTTGAGCACAAGTCTTATGAGGAGCGGCTGAG